CATTTGTTCACTATTGATTTTTGCTCAATTAAATTTCTTAGATCTAAAACCAAGGCTGCTACAGCAACAAGGCCAGAGGCCACACAGAACAATCCCAAACTGAATACAACCCAAAGCAAACAAATGAAACAAGACAAACAAAAGAAAATCACAAAACTGGGGAAACGAAGCAGCAGGGTCTCCACCAAGCTGCAGCAGCTTTTAATTTGAAAAGAAAAGACATTTTAAAATGGTGGTTTAGGCAAATGGTAGCATGCAGAGGGAGAAGCAGTTTTCACCTACAAGCTGGATGACTCTACCACAACCAGAGAGCTCCTTCTGACAGAACAGCAGCAGTGATTTCTATGTACAAACAGTTGTCAGGGTTTTAGTACTATTGAACTATATGGATGAAATAAACAGTACATATCCCTTCTATGTTGCTATGATCAACTGGGGAGGTGAAATTACTACCAAACAAGCAGGAGACTCCAAGCAGTTTCTAAATCCACAAACAATTTGAATTAAACTGCCATCTCAGATCTTATGCAGGAGAAACAATACTTACTGAAGTTAGTCAAGCTATGACCAATGCAAATCAAACAAGCTATACTCGTACTGAAGCGTGATCATGTCTGGGCATAAAGAGGCAGGTGAAAGAGCCTCCTTTTATACTCCACACCCCTGTCGGGAGTTAATTGGATGGAAGGTGTCCTCAATCCTGGAGGTCAGGCTACATCCTGCTACACTTACATATAATTTATGTCACCACTGCTTTGGAGGTTAGGATATGTGCACATTGCTCTTAGTGCTCTTGTGGCCACTAGGGGGACCACAAGAGCAGTTTAGTTTTTTGTTTTACCCATACAAACAATGTTTTGTACATGACAAAATATATATTATTGTAAAAAACATCTCAAGTTTATAATGAAAATTATTACTATCACTCATATAAAAATTAATACGGTACTATAAAAAAAAAAAAAAAAAATCAGCTCCATGTCCAGGACTAGCAGCTTAGTTTGCTTATGCCTTGGGCTCAGACGTTCCAGAGATTTATGGATTCAGTCCTGCGGGGTTATGCTGTTTTTGTCTATTTTATTAATTTCTTATTATTTTAAATTTGTGACAGTTTTGTCTGTAAGTATCCAAATAAACAAGACTTTAGTCTACAGACTAAATCTGTCTGCGGACTAAAGTCAAGCTGCTGTTTAGCTTGACTGCCTTTGTATTTACATTTGAATAGTATTACTTTGATGCCTATCCTCAGTCCCTTTACCCTTAAAATAAAGTGAAAAACCAGTTAAACATGTCATGGCTGATGTTTACCTGCAGCGGAGCTTGATTAAGGAAGCCTGTGACTTTACGCTGATGCTCCTGTAATCTGGATGAGTGGCATTATAATTTCCCTGATGCTGCCATTCAAAGCACAAACATAAAATGTTGGTTTTAGAACCAGAAGACCTGCCAGAGTGACTTTCTAGTGCTTATTCAAATATTTCATTAAAATGTAAATTTCTACAAGCTGGTACATCAAGCTGTGCACAAGGCATTACTTAAGAAGTTATGAAGTTATTGAGAAATTTCTCCGATGCCATTTAACTGGCAGGTGTGTGTGTGGGTGTTAATGTCCTCACCTTGTTTCACTGCGATATAACGAAACTAAAGCAACTGAACTGAGGAGTGTATTGACAGCTGAGATTGGTGGTAGTTTGTGGGAAAAACGGTCTATATGAAGGCAGCAGCAGCTAATCAATTCTGTTATCTCTTAAAGTGCAAATGAAGTGGCTGAAATTAAGGCAGTACTAAAAAACGCAGGAGGAAGATGGGGTTTCTGCCTGCTCCACCCCGACATTTGTCAGGGGTGGAGAAAAATCACACTAAAGGGTTCACTGCACTCAGACGTATGAAAGCAACAAAATACGACAACAATGTGAGTATGTGACTGAAATTTAATGTAAGTCATGTTGATATACTCTTTTGAGATTTACGTCAAGATATAGTGGAGCGGCGGTTGGATGGGATCACCTGTTTTTACATTAAAGTTTGATATTTTTTTTCTTAGATTACATTTGTGTTGTATTGAGATTTCTTGGGTGGGGAACAGATTCAAAATTAGATTTTTTAACTCAAATTTGATTTACAGCCGTAAAAACTATTGAGTGAATTTTAGCAAGGTGAACTTTCCAAAAGTTTGTACATGAAATTCAGCACAAAAGGGGAGAAATATTTACACAAAATATTTGACTTTTTTCAGAAGATATTTCTTTATTTTAAAGCTTTTCAATGCCTTCTGTTATAGAATTTATTACACTCTCTAGATCATATTAAGCACTTACAATTGATCATTGTTACAATTTGCTTTTATTCAGGCATTTTTGACAACTCAGTGCTAGAAAACAGATTTTGTAAGACAAACATTTACAGTCACAGTGAAAAACGCTTATGGAACACTTTGCTTGTCAGGTTGCTCCTCCTGGTCATACTTGCATGAAAACAAACAGTGAGCCAACAGTCGACTTTTGTTGATAACTGTGTAGCTTATTGGTGCAGTTTTTTCCCCTCCTTCATCAGATGCTGAAACTTTATCGCTGAGTGCCTGAGGAGCTGTGTCGCTCGGGGTTCTTCGCTCTCCCCTCTTATTCCTTTATTTAGGCTTTCATTTTTAACTTGCGGGGGTGAGGGGAAGAAGAAGACAAAATGGTTGCAGGTGGTGATGAAAATAAGAGCCATCCATCATTATTTATTAGGCATGAAAAAGATACACAATAATGTAATTTCATCTCTCAGCAGACAATTATTTCCACATATTGATAACGCAATGCGAAAAGTGCCATGAATCCTAATATGATGTTTGCTTTTTATTGGTGTATGATACAAGCAGAACAAATAATGTAATTGTATCAGCTCCAAAATGTGATTATTTGCACAAGCTAACATTATAATACCAATCTGCCTCTGACAATGTTATCATATTATTTTTGCTTTGCTTAACTAGTTACAATTTGCATTAAGTTATTATGTCTGGTTGGCAATAAAGGTGCCTCTCTCTGCCTCTGGTAGGTGCTTTTCTTAGCTCCTCATTACAGCTCATCAAACACTTTTGAGGCTTCCAAAAGCCAGCATGATTTCCGATTATAAGAGGGAAAACTTTCGCGTATTCATTTTTTTGCTTTCTGCATCTTTACCATATTTACTTTTTGTGTGCACAGCTTCAAGAGTGGTCGACTTATCTGCTGTTCATCCAGGCCAAACTGAGATTAAAGAAACTTAACACTATAGACATGGTTACTATGCAAATTACAGTGCTGGAAACAAAAACACATTTTCCATTAAAAAATAAAATGTAGGGTATTTGCATACAGGTGCACTGATTTGGTTTATTCACAGTACCAAAATGATTAACATTAATGAAGGAGCAAGCGGTTTGATGCCAACTGTCAGGCCACCTCTGTAACCTCCTCCATGTATGTGTGTACTGATGGTGGTGGTGTGTTCATGCTGCAGTGAACTAATGACCAAGTCGGCCCCATGTAAAATTAGATGCTGCATCTACACACGTGTCTCTGACATTATGAAAATGTTTTATTGATGACTCATGACTCAGCTGTCCCACGGTCAGGTGAGTTTGATCCACACGGAGGATGCAAAGTGTAATAATAATATTGCCTGGTTAATTATTAATCCATCTCTGTGAAGAATATGTGCACATCATAGTGTCTCATTTGAATATGGGCAGCAAACACACCTAAAAACCATCAGATGGCCATGGCAATGACAGCTATAAATGGGATGACTTTTAAGAATTATTATTTGCAAGCTGAAGGAATAGGGTACGTTTCCTCCTGGTGGGATTTGGGAAGCATCTCCGCAGAGAAGTGAGCAGAGGCGTTGATCGACACCGGAGGCTAGATGAGTGTTTGCAAGTCATTAGCGGTTTGTAAATGATGTTTGGTCCCATGAGACATATCGTTTGAAATGCTTTTCTAACACCCGGCAATAATAAAATAAGAGGGTCCCCATGTTGTGATCATGCTTTTCATAAATTTGCTGTGGAAAAACAGAGGGAGACGGTTTGGGATAAATTGAAACAAATGTTGCTCCCAGATGACAGGCTGTTGGGAACAATGGTCTGGAGAGCAAAAAGCTGCTCGCTGACGATACCATTGGTTTTACCCATTTTTTATATAATGTGCAAAATCTTAATGTATTGGTGATTTATGAAAAAAAACAATGCAGTGCTTTGCTACTAATTGTCAACACTACGACAGCTAGATGAGAGAAAAAAGTTTTAAATAAGAAACAAATAGCAAGGGAAAGAGAAGTAGTTTAGTTCTTATAATATTCTATATTAATCATTATTGAATCATTGTTTCTCTATAATATATTGTATTTGTGTATAAACATGTGCATTACTGAGTGGCTGTGTGCTTTGTAAAATGCTCATCATTCTGTCATGATGGGTTCAATTCTTTTAACCCACTTACGCAGAACACAACTCTGGAGACAAGTGTAAGTTAAAGGTTTTATTACAAAGTACAACAGAGTGTACAGCGGTCTGCATCAGGAACTCGTTATGGGGGCGGGGGTGGATCTCTGAATACAAAGAGGACTGGTAAGGTGAGTTCAGGTGCTGTGGGAATTTGCAGTCTTGCAGTAACAGTCTTACTTGCAGGTGGGTGAACTGGACCAAGGGGAAAGGCTACTGTTCCAGGGCTGGTGGTGAGGAGAGAGCGGAGGCTGTGTTGGAGGACGGACAGGTGAGTGGAGGAGCTAGTTCTTCCTGGATCCAGGAGGGAGCTGCCAACCGGGAGGTTTGATGCAGGTTTGCTACAGCAAAGAGGTTCTGGAAACTCAGGCCACCAATGGGTAGAATCCACGGGGTCTCGAGGGAACAGATCAGGCTGCCAGTAATCCTGGCAGTTCAGGTAGCCCAAGGCTTCATGGAGGTATAACCTGAGAAGAGGCAACACAGAGAGGATTACACAAGGATCAGGTTGGTCGGAGGTGAGCTCACTAATAACTACCATTACTAGCTAACACTCTGGCACTGGAGTGTCGGCTGCTCCCTCCTGATATACTCCTCCAAATGAAGGTAAGTGGCGGCAGGTGAGCAGGTAGGGGTTGCAGGTCACGCCCTCCAGGAAAACCCCAGGATGCCCTCTGGTGGAGAAACTGAAAAATATCACCAACCAGCCTCCCCCAGATCCCAACAAATTCATCAAATTACAATCTTCTATTCCTATTCTATTCTGTGTTCACCACTAAGAGTAATAAAATATTCTGAACCATGTATCAGTCCAATTCAAAAATACTTTAAAAATGTCCTTGTACATGATGCTGTGATAGCTGTTTCAATAAGGTTTCCAGCAAAAAAACGTGAAAATCTGTTTTGTATTTAGCGGGCTACAATTAACTAAATGCATGGATACTTTACTGCACCTGCCAAACACACAGCACCAAGTGGAGCGGTCGACCGCTCCAAGATATCACGTTGGCGACAGTAGGAAAGAGCGGTCCATGTCTATGTCTATGTTGACAACCATAACATGGGCAAACACTGCTGTTGAATTTCAGTTACAAAATAAAAAAATGTGACCCTCACACTAACTTTGACCATCAATAGAGCAGGTGTTTAAATTAGATAATAAACCACCACAGTGTTAAATGACCTAATAGCAGATCATTTACCACTGCTATCACTTTTTA